CCGATCAAGTTCAATAGATTGATTTATATCTTTAAGGCCTTCTGAAACGATTAAATTCAAAATATGAGCAGCACACCGCATCTGCAAAAATTCTCCATCACAAATTAGACCTCCTAAATCCTTCAAACGCTTCTTTAAAAAGAATCATTAGAAGAAGCATTATCAACTGTAATTGCAAATACTTTCTCAATACCCCAATAGAATAAGCATCCCTCAATTTCATTGCCAATGGTGCCCCTTTTGTGGTTTTCTACCACACAAAAATTCAAAATTCATTTTTGTAATGTCCATTCTTCATCAATCCAATGAGCTGTCAAACACATGTAGTTGGAATTTTGAATTGAAATCCAACAGTCTGTGGTGAGTGACACACGAACTTTAGATTTCTTAAAATACCTCTTCAAATGTCTTGCTTCTTCTAGATATATCTTGTAGCACAACTTAGCTATAGTGGTGCGAGAAGGGCATGTAAATCTCGGTTCACGCACTTCCAACATTTTTTTTAAAACCTTGCCCTTCCACAACTCGAAATGGCATCTCATCCAAAATAATGAATTCAGCAACTGCTTTTTTGCATCGTTCTGCATTATATGGTTGATGAGTCATTGATTTACCAAAAGAAGTAGAGAGTAAGGACTGTCCTGCCTTGGCTTTGTTCCAAAGAATCAAAATGTCGCCAAAGGTTCTTAGTCCCAGTTTTAGAAGAATGGCCTGCAAAATTTTTTCCACAATAGTTGCATTTAGCTCGATGCTCATCTTTTTTATTTATAAATTTTTCATAATGATTCCACATTTTAGATGTTGCACTTCTTTTTCGTTTAGGAGGTGGAGCATCTTCAGCTTGGGAAGCTCTAGGTTCAATAGGTGCTGGTGGGGTGGTGGTGGTGTTGGGAGCTTTAGATTCATGTGCCCCTTCCATAACTTGCATTTTTCATATTAACTTTAAAAGTAAAAACTATACAGCAACCAAACCAAATTAATCACAAACACATTTGGTATTAGGTGCATCACATTAACCAAAATATCAACAAAATTATAAGTTTTCAATACTATAGAAAGGGGGTTACTAAATGCGAAAAAACATATAATGGAAATTGGTATGATCTAATAGATTAATATTGTCATATGAGGTCAATCAAACATGATCAAAAAAGAAAATAGAATCAACTTGCAATTGACTGTTATTAATCTATACTGAGAGCTAAAATGTTGTACAACTTTGCATGGAGGTTAAGAAACGTGCCAATTTCTGAAGGCTGGAAATAATGATGTGAAAATTGGGTGAAGAACCTAAAAAGTATAAACTTCGACAGAAGCAGTTACCAAGGAAGGGAAAAAACAAAATACTGGACATTCATTTTAAAGGCTGCTAAGTTCTATGAAATTAGATCCAAATACAGTAAATGAAAACACAATAGATCCATTTTGAAAGGCTCTCAACATTACATTCGCAAGTGAAAATCCGTTCCCCAAACACTGCTCTGTTTTTAACTTAATGGAACAGAAATGAAACTAACTTGCTAAAATACTTGCCGAGGTCGATGCTGGAGGGGTGGCGTGTGCGTGTGTTTGCTAACTGGAGTGGAGCCGAGGTCGATGCTAAAGGTGGAGCATGCGTGCATCTGCTAACTGGAGTAGAGTCGAGTTCGACACTGGAGGTGGAAGATGGAGGAAGACGAACTGTGAAGCTGAAGGATGAAGATGGAGGCTCTCGCGCAAGCAACGACTTAAGTGAATAGGGAAGAAATTGAGTAGGGTGAAGATGGCGAACGAGTAAGCTAACTCAACTAAGGCATGGGCGAACGGCGGCAACCTCACAAACACAAAGTCACAGTGAAGCTCACGCACATGGTCTCCTGGGCGTTTGGAATTGACGACATTAGGGTAGAGCCGTAGAGGACTCTTCTTCATCTCAACCTAGAATTTTTTTTTAAAAAGATAATCTATACGGGCAGGTATGGGCCACCTGGGGCCTAACCCGTTACCCACCCATATAGACATATACAGGTATATACCCACCCATACCCGTTTTCCTCCCTCAATAAATGGGTATGGGTTGACCTGTTTATAAACGGGTCGGGCGGGTATGGGCGGGTTTGCGGGTATATTGCACACTCCTAATTTCTGTCTACCTTTCAAATAGAAAAGGAGAAAGTACATGGTAACACATTCTGAATTAAAAAAATAAATTTCCTAGGGATGCCAAATCTTTTCAAAACAATAAAGAGAAAAAATGCACCCAACAGGCTGTTTCAGTTTTAACATATGAATCCCATGAGAATGAGATATTTCATCATGTCTTGTTTGTTTTATGGTAATATTTGTGATCCGAACTTCCCTAGTTATACATGAAGAGCATGTATCGGATAATTGATGATATTTTCCTCATTTAGTTTATATTTTTATTAAATACTTTAAAATTTTTAACTTATTTTAGTATTTTAAAATATTTAACTACGACTTAGGTCCAATTTATAATGTACTCCCTCTGGTTCTATTTATAAATCACTTTCAATATATTTCGCAATAATCAAGGAAAATATTAAACATCATTCATTTTATTTTAAAATTTAACAAATTTTCACATTCACGCGTAATAAATATTCTTAAATATCATTACTGATATTTTTATTTAAAGCATTTAATAAGGACAAAAATGTAAAGAGAAATATTAAAATTGACAAGTACCTTATAAATAAAATTAATTTTTTTTTCTCTTTACCCTATAAATAGGACCAAAGGAGTATTTTACAAAAAAAAGTAGTCCTAATTATGAAGTGTCAAACAAAATAATGAAATAATCTTTTACTTTTACTATTTAACGTAAGAAAGCATTGGCACATAAAAAAGGTGATTCATCATTTTCCTTCAATTGATAAGGATATCATTGAAAAATTGAAAAAAGTTTAACAAATAAATCAACATAATAATTTTTCTTTAAGACACATGAAAAATACTCAAGACACCTTATAAACATGGGAAGCGTTTGTTTAAGATCAAAAAAATTAAGATAGTGTTTGAGAGTTTTTTTTTTAAACGGAATGGGATGTTAGAACTGTTATGCCATTGTTTGAGAGAATTCTAAAAGAATGAGTGGAATGGCTTAGGTGGCATTCCAAGTCTTCTGAGTCATCACAAACTCTTTTTTAACTTCCTAATTTGGGGAGAGGACAATGGGATGACATGATACAGATAAGATTATTACAAAATTACGCTCATCCTTCTTGCCCCTCTCTCGCTCTTTCACTTCACCATAAAACTTAAGAACATTAACTCAAATCTATTAATTTTATAATTATTCTTAAATAATTATTAAATAAAACCGTTTATTCTTCTAATAAAACTTTCAAACAATGAAATGATCTATTCCATTCTACTCCAACCATTTTGGTCCATTAACAACCATTTTTTTCTGTCCTATCATATACTCTCAAACATATCCTAAGTAATTCTTGAATAATTTCAAAATTTTATAAAAAGATTTATTTTATCCAGATTTGATAAAAAAATATAATATTTGGCTACTTTAAAATTTTGACATTGTCGTGGATCTCTATATATAAAAATAATTTACTATATCTATATTTTTATTTTATAAGATTATTTTTAGAAGAACACCTTCCTTTTTATTTTATTTTTTTACATTCTTAATCTTTTTATGAACAAAAACTTAGGTGAGTTAAATTTTAAGAATTGACTAACAATACTTACACATACTTACAAATCACTTACAAACAAAATTATCATATTAATAGTAAGATTTAATTCTATGTCCTTGTAAGTTTTGGACATATTCTTATTACCCACTGGAGTTGATTTTTTTTCATGTTCTTATTATTTTTAAAAGTTTGAACAAATATCATCAAATAAACCTTTTTTATAAGAATAAGTAATATTTTCATTAAAAAAAACCTTAAACAGGTGGATCCATGGAGTTTTTTTTTTTTAATAATGATTTTAAAGCCTAGTATAATGTAGTGGAGTGTGTGTTTTTTTCCATTGTCCAATGAAAAGCAAGCAATGTCGGGGATAGGACTTTTGAAGCAATTTCGATTTCCGCGCAACTGATTGCGCTCTTGCTTTGCAATGCATTGGCCCTCTCTCCTTCAACTTCCAACCCCCACCTCACAGTTACGTACCCATGCCACTCCTATATTCCCACTACTCACACAAATATATTCACTACTTTCCACTAATATATATATATATATATATATATATTCACTAGTACTTTCAATTTACTTTAATTAATTATATCAAATTAAAAATTCTTCTCATCAATCAGAAGGATCTGTGGTAATAGGGGTAGGTTTCTATCCATCTACTTCATTTTCCCACTATTCCTATATTATAAATTTAAATTGTTTAAATTAAATATATACTTTTAAAAATTATCGAATCTAAATACCAAATCTAATTTATATGTCCACATCTACAAAGATCCTCCTCTACTCATCCCTGCAGCAGAGGAAAGCCAATTTGGTGCAGTTAGTGCTTCATATACGTACTGCAGACATCGGTATATCAAGCAAATAATTATTTCCAAAAAAAATTTCAAGTTACAGTAAAGCAACGCACAGCTGAACTGACAGGAATTTTTTCTTTACATACAAAAATAGGGAAAAAAGTTGTCCTTCTGTCAGGTCCAAGATATACTACTATAGAACACCAGGCGTTTATTTCAACTAACAGTGGCATGAGGGGTGAACACTAAACTACGTACAGGAAAGTTAACCAATGTGCTTATCTGTTAGCTATTGTTTATCTCATGATCCTTTCAATGATTTTACATCTTTAATCAAACCTCACCTTCATGTTAGGATATAGCCGATGACACGAGGAGTCAGTCTCTATTTTTTTTTTTTAAAAAAAAAAGCGAACTATTTGCTTTAGGGGTATCCATTATTATCCAGCGATTTGAACATATATATATACATATATATATATATATATATATATATTACACTGAAGCAGATAACAACCAGCTCAAGACCCAGGGGGGAAAAATCAACAATTCTACATCAGTTAGCTATATATACAGGCCCAATTGTTAAATAAATATACATATTGTATATGTATGAACCATATGTTCACTAAAATTGAATAATATGAAGATTATATATTCGTTATGATTATATATATATATATATATATATCTATAAATTAAGCTTTGGCTGAACCGGAATGAGTGAAGTTACCTGGTAGCTATATAGGTATTATAGGTAGAGCCTGCTGGTACTGTATATGGGACTTCCATGCATGAATAATAGTAAGGAATCTGATGCTCGTCGATAGAGAAAAAGCTAGCTGCTGAAAAAATGGGTGCCCCCTGTGGCCTACTTGTTCAGGGAATGTAAGGCAAATCCACCCAAGTTGGTTCTCTCTCTATTCCCAGTTTTCTCTCTCTCTCCCCCTTCTCTTCCTGTACTAGCTTTGGCCGTCTTCAACTCTTGCTTGATCTGAAATGACAATGATATAATTGACCCATCAAACAGTGTTAACACAGTGTGAGAGAGAGAGTCAGATCAGTCAAGAAATAGAGAGAACAGTGCTCTGACAGGGAGCCATCAAAGTAACATGCGTGTATGAACAGTGTGATCAGGTTCATCACATCATGTTGGGCGAAGGCATTAATGGTGCTGGACCATCCACCACTACTGGCGAGAATCGAGATGAGCATATAACAGACGATAGACCTATCACCATCCTTGCTCTACATAGCTAAGCCACCAGTCATTTAGGTATAATATTCCATAAGATAATTACACTGACAGAGTTCAGAACTTTGTTTTAATGGATGCGTTGAAGCTTCTGAAATGGGAAATTCATTCATGAATTTGGTCCATGAATGATATAAATATATATATATATAATATAATAAACACATACCCAACGAAATATGTCTCTTTATTAAGCATAAGAGGTAGCTACCAGCTAGTACATCCATCAAATCCCCAACTTTTTATTTACTTTTTTGGGTGGAACTCACTCTTCGTATTTACTGCTCGCATTCAACTCACGATCAAGTTCATCAAAGCCATATAAAATACTAGCTGTAAAACTTATAGTTCTTTTTTCTTCTCTTTTCTTTCAGAAGCTAGCTAGCTCCCAGTCCCATACTCTTCAGGATGGTGCTGGTACATTAAGATGAACATTCTAAAACTGCAGTTAGCTTGCATGAATAAATCTCAAACAAATTAAACGACTGTACATAAATTGATTGACTTCAGCATTCAAGAGTTGTTGTACATCAAATTGATTCATCGTCATGAACTGAATGAATAATATAATGTAAGAAGATAAATTGATTTCTGGTTCCATCAGAGAGGATCCCATCGCAATAAAAGTATGAGAGAGAAGAGAGAGTGAGGGGGCCTACTTACTCATTCCCCTCCTCCCCACTTTTTTCTTCTCTCTGTATTTTTTAATGCTTAACAGTTTCCTTCAAATAAGAGAATTAGCCCTCTCGTTCTTCTACCGCAGCATGTCATTCTCCTATATATGAGTGTCACACATGGAGCCTATAATAAAGGTCAAAATGAGATTCTAAAGGTGGCTAAAGACCCGCAAAGTTTCTCGATTTGCCCCAAAAAGATAAGTGGGATGCATGCTGCTGCGTTAAATTTTTCGTACCCGTGGAGCGAGGGATTTTCTCCACTGCTCCCAAAAAGTTTAACAGTTTAAAACTTAAAGCTATCGCTCTGTAAAGCTAAACATACCTTTCTACACACGCAGCATATATAAACAAAGAAAGAAAGAAACAGAAGGAAGAAACTCCATTCAATGAATCCTTTCTTCCTATGGACTTAAGAGAAAAGCAATGGTAAATAAAAGGTCAAGCAAGTCTCGGTATCATGAAGTTTCCTTCAAAGAATTAAGCTTTCTTTTACGTGAGCAAACAATTACATATAGGAACTGATCTCTTGCTAATTTGTAAGGGTGTAGAAGAAGATGACGAACAGTAACAGATTTAAAATAGTCACCCAAAATAATAATAATAAAAAAATAGTGTGGGTGGGGTCTCTGGTGGAACGTTACCCTATAAGAAAGGATGTTTCAACTTTCAAGGGTGATGACAAGACAGCAACGATGAGGAAGTGGGTAGTTATCAAGATAAGGGTAGGTCTACTGAGTCACTGACACAATCTTTAGTAAGACGACTATTAGAGAAGTTCTTAGCCACAGAGACAAATGCATGTCGGCAATCATGATGCATGACCACTTCCTCAAGTCAATCAATCACAAGCATCTTAACCATGTTATAATTCTGCAATTCTGCAAATGTTTTAGGTAACTATCCAATGAATCTGCATAAGATACAACTATTTACTTCTTCCATGAGCTTTTAGGTGTGAAATCTAATTTTTTACTTTTATTTTATGCATAATTAATGTTACTCAAAATACAACAGATAAAAATTTAAATTCAATTTTTTGGGTTGAATGTGATTCTCCTTTTTTTTTTAATCTTAAAATTAACTTCTAAGGTTCGCCAAAAAAAAAAAAAAATAAGCATACAAAATTATTACTTCCCCGTTTTTATTTGTAAAAAAAAATTATTACTTTTAACTTAATTTTTATATAAATAAAATCATATTTTTTAATAAATATCTATTGCAAACTTTTTAAATTGTCATAATTTTATCATTAAATAAAATCATATTTTTTAATAAATATTTATTGCAAACTTTTAAATTATTTCTCATAATTTTATCATTCATAATCATAAAAAATAATTAATAAAAAATTAATTAATACAATTAATAAAAAGTATTATAGTCAAATTCTTTTATTTTTAAATATAATTAATACAGTTAACTCATTCTTTTAAATTGTATGATATAAATTTTTTCTCCTACAAATAAAAACGGAGAAAATACAAAATCTAAACAGCAGACTGCCAAATGTGCTGTTGTTATACTACTAATAACTAACAAATTTCATTTCCTGATACAGTTAACGCATAAAGTTTCATTTGTTTCAATAATTAAATTATCTAAACAAAATAATAATCATCAACAGTAATATTCATTGCATAGCATGATAAACAATATTCCGTGTCCTGTGTCTGTTTTTATCATCCCATAGAACTTTTTACCAGTAAAAGTTAAAAAAAAAAAAAAGCAACTTCTATAAATGACTGCAATTATGAATCAGCTAGAGACTTACCACCAACTAATCAATTTACACCACTACTTTTTAATTTTAAATGTAATTTAATATACCCATTTAACATTTGATTAGCATGTTAGTCGAGATTCCATCTAGACAAAAATAGACACTAGAGGATCTAGAAATTGACAACTGTCCTCGTCATTGCCAACACAATATTTTAAAAACAAAAAAAAAAATCATAAAAGCAGCACTCAGACCACACGCAACTCAGTGCGCAAGTTACTGATTGAACCACAACAAACGCCTACATTGTTATTTTTTAGGCTGTTATCATCAGCATCTTATTCTTAGGTAGTAGCATCAGAGAGTAATTTAATTTCCAAAGGCAGCTCTCAAATAATCCTTCTTCTCAGATTATAAAACAATTTAAAATTAATAAAATTATAAATATCAATAAAACTTAATAATAACATTTTACAAATTCTCTTCAAAACAAAGCTATAATTCTTACACTACAATATTATTTTAATTCCCTCTTCACTTTAAAAAATAATATTAACAAGATATCATTAATAATTTTTTTTAAGTTATCTTATATTTTAAGATAAAAAAATACCTTTAAAGTTATCTTATATAATTCAAAACAGCAGAGTATTATAACAGATTACAGATTCCCCTTGCCACACAGCAGCAAAAAGAACATGAAGAACACACTAAATTCTGTACCCTAGCAGTCATTAACTGATTAAATATTACATTAATTAATTAAGACATCACTTTGGCTATTTTACTCTTCAAGCGTATGCATAGTATCATTTTAATAATCTCTCTGAATTAGAACAAAAATTTAATTAATGAATACAAAACTAAGTTTCAAGATTTTTGAAGGGAATAAGAACTTAAATAAAAATAATATATAGAACTGAATTTAATTAAATTTGCTACATTTTGTCCACCAAATTAAACATTTATCCAACTAGAAGGGAAAATGACAGGTAGCCATTATTAATTTCATATTTCATAATGATGTTATATCGCGTTGCTGTTTTGCATTTTCTAGTGATGTTATATCATATACAAAGAATTCTAATTAAAAATAATAATTTACTGATGTCAGATCGAGCTATAAAGGGTATACTTGTTTGCAAGAATTATGCGTTTGGTAATTTATTATTTAAAAAACAAAAACCATATATATATAAAATGATCATGTTTTGGTTGGAAATATTTCATATAATCTTTTTCTTATGTAAATATTTCTTCTAGTTAATTAATGGCAACAATTATGAGTTTCCTTAAAAACCCATAAAAACAAGTACCCTATTCCCCATAGAGGGAGATTCCCCTTTTTTTTATTACGCACAAGAAATATATAAATATTTATATAAAATTAAAAGATGATAGATTAAAGATGCGAAGTTGTGTGTATATATATACCATGCGTCATGTCTCTCCCTCCTCATCCATTACGCATTCCTGGCGGCACAATGTCTCCGAGAAGTCCTTGATCAATGGGAGGGTGCTGCGAGGCTGCATCATCTGGACACATTAAAGTGCTGGACGATACTCCAGCTGGTTCATGATCCTGCGCCTGCTGCTGCTGCTGGTGATGAGGAGGAAGAGGAGCTTGAGACCGAGAAGAAAGAGTACTAGCATTTTCTCTTGGTAATTGGATCGGATGATAGAACTGTGACATTGTAGGAGCCAACTGGCCGGCTGCGGCAAAGGCCGCGGCAGCTTCATGATGGCTCATGATTGATACTCCTGCTCTAGGGAACCCAACTGTGTGATGACAGTGTTGGCCTTCGTACGTTGTTATCACAATGGTGGGATCGTCCGAAGATCGCTCCACCCTTTTCTTCACCGTGCATTTGCTGTTTGTGCAACGATAGTAGCTCCTGCATGTGCCAAAATTAACCACATAACCATATAGGTTCAATTTCAACCAGTTCATCAACTGGTCAGCAAGAATTCCATTATATGCAAATATTGTGTCATTGACAATCAATATAAAATATAAATAATTCAGGTCATTCATCATTCTGTGCAATACATGATATCAGCACCTCTAAATTAACATATCTGAGAAGAGGATCAGATTGACACATGCAGTTACAAATGCTAAATGCTAGTCGTATGTTATTTCTACAAAGTTTTTTGAAACTACATCCTGATTAATTTGATCTCATTTAGAAAAGTTTTCCGGAGTATAAGTGAGACCATTTGAGATCATGTTTAAGTAATTATTGGGCAAATTATTCCAGTTAAAGTATAGTGAGCTACTGTGCAGGCAATTGCAGAGACTAATCCGTACAATGGAATAGATATGGAATCTGTGTCCGTAGTTGAGAATATGAGTAGTCGACAAGAAGTTTCATGTTCAAACATAAATAAATAATTAAATATAAAGAACACATTAAGCATCGTATTATTGTTTGGCAAATATTAGGATGGGTGAATGATGCAACCATTGCGCAAGTCTAGATGCTAATTGTTATCATCATTCAACTCTACCGTGATTATTTCCTCCTCATTATGCTTTCAAAGACATATAAGATTTTAAATTATTTGACATATCGATCAAAGGAAGATTTAGAACAGAAAGGTCGAGTAATGATAGCCCAGATTAAGTTTTGGTTAATTAAAAATTTTACTTATAAAGAAAATGTAGATACCCCACCTAGGAAATGGACTATTTTTTACGGCCTTTTGGCCATACTTGCGCCATCTGTAGCCATCCTCAAGATGATCAACCTCACTCTTAGTCATAAATGCAAACCGCGGCTGCCGTATTCGCTTTTGCCCCTTCTTTTTACTTTTACTCCTACAAAATGTCACCTACATTTATTTGTCAAAATAAAAAAACACAGTACTGAAAATTCAAGCATATATATATATATATATGAGATCATAAACGATGAGTATATAGTAAAGAAGACATTGAATTGGAGCTTCTTAATAGCTATATACCGTATTTCGCTATATATGAATATATACTATAAAGAAATTGAAGATAATCCATGCAGCGAATGGGATACTATAAAAGTTATCAACATTCCTTATCATTAATTATACATTATATACGTCGGTGAAAGTGATAAATATCCTTAAATAAGTCCTGTCTAGGCATATATAATATATGTATGTATGTATGTAATGGTCAACCACTTCGATGACGTGATATGGGGGGAAAATCAGCTTTCTTCGCACGGGCGAATTTTAAATTATCCCACCACAATCTTAAATTATCATAGAATCAATTTGTATGCACCAAAGCAAAACGAAACTGTGCTGTGCATAAAAGAAACCTACATAAAGCTACCCAACGCAATGATCAGTCTTGTATCATTTAGAGCCAAAAATGACAGGTGCAATACAATTGTTTTACCTCTTATGATATTACTGATGATTTTAAACCACAGCCAACATAAAATATATACACATCACAGTAATCTCGCTACAGAAACACAAATATAAAGAAGCAACAGCTCGCCTTTTAACCAGAACCACACACAAGCATTCTTGAAGCTAAGATGATGAAATTGATAGGCAAATACAAATCACAAGCAGACACTTTTGTTAGTACTATACACACGCACGCACGCTAGAAAAATTATTTTGGGCATCAACTGAGATAAACTCTATTTTAAGAGCACACTACATTGTCCTCACATTTAAACATCAATTCCAAAATAAAATTAAAAACTTTTCAACTAGAAAATACCCCTCTTTAACACACGTCGCTAGACAATTGCTACATATACGTACCGAGCTATCTTCATTCAAATTACACGCCGAAAAAGGTCATCAAATAAACTGGGGATCAACTAAGGCCAACTCTATTTTAGGCCCTTTACTGAAAAAAAAAAGAAAAGAAAAGAAACTCTATTTTTAAGCACCACAACATCATCTTGAAATAAATAAAAATAACTTTTTTAGATATTAATTGAAAAATAAATTTAAATCCTCAACACAGAATTGATGTCTTTAAACCGCCAGTCATTACTACTAATAGAAAATGCATCGTGTATATTTCTCTCCCATCATTCCTTCTTTTGTGCAAACAATGCCTACTACGTACAGTAAGAAAACTTCTTAAACGGCATATTTTTGGTTGGGTTCGACCACGCCATTCCCGCCGCAATAACGGCGGTGCTTGCGGGCCAAAATTTCAATGACCCGAGAAGACGACAGGGTCTTCCTCTTCGGACCCCAATCTTGTTGTCCTAAAGTGGCTCAACTTTCTTTCGGTTTACTCTAACTCATCCCCCCCGCCCAAAAAAAAAAAGTTAATAGAAGAAGAAGAAAAAACTGGCAGAGAATACTCCATATTGTATTCCTGTGTGGCCAGGTTCTAGATTGTACGGACAGTGGATTGCACTCTCCCCCAAGGAACAGAGAGTTAAATGAGCACAAACAAACAAGGCGCAGCTTGATACGATTCTGATTTGATTGCAATATTTCGTTTATTTTAACACGACAGCGTTTATGTCTACCCCTGAATTTCGACCTAATTACGAATTTATCAAACGAGAGGGAGAACAAACAACCCACTCACGGTATCTCCGGCGGTTTTTCATCTGATACGGTGGACTTCTCGGGCGGATCCTCGCTAGAGCTCGAAGACACCGATTGATTATTCGACGTGGACGCATCGGCTGCCACCGTGTTCGCTTTCTCAGCTTGTTCCGTCGAGCCACCCGGAGCAGAGTGATCTGGAAACCACAATCCTCCTCCTCCGCCCCCTCCTTCTCCTCCCGCCACATCAGACGTACCATCGACACCGATCCGGTGCGTTTCCTCCGGTTCGAGATTCCACCCGAACTCGCTGAGTATACTGCTGGCGTCTCGGTCTCCTGAGAAGAAATAGACGCCGTCAGAGTCATCGGGACCGAGTGCCCAGCTGGAAGAGTCGGTGGTGAACTCAGTCGGAGATATTGCAGGGCGGGATGATACTGCTTTGTCTTTGTCTTCCATTCATGGAAAACGTACAGAGAGACAAGTGTGATTTAATCTGTAAAAGGAAGCAAAGCAAGCAGAATCGGAATTCCCGGAAAATAAAAGGAGGAAAGGATATTCCGGGAAAACTCGGAGGAAGAGAGAAAGAGAAAGAAGCAGAGAGAGAAAGTTTTAGGGTTTTTTGCTGATCGTTGTGAGAAGGAAGGGACGCGTAGTTTTTGAACTTTATGAAGCGTTTGAAAGCTTTGTCTCGTCATTACACAGTAACATACAGTGCAGGAGGGGAGAGAGAAAGAAAGAGATTTTTTCTTTTTTTTTTTTTGTTTTTTAAATTTGTGTTAGATAAAAATAATATTTAAAAAAATAAAAAAAAATGCTCTGCCAATTTTTTTTATAGTCATTTTTATCAAAGTTATTAATATCAATAAAAAATATAAAAAATAAAAATATATAAAATTTTAATATATTTTTATATAATAAATTTAAGAAATAATGTTATGTTATTTTTCTTAATTAAAATTAATTTTTAAAATTTTTTAAATATTATTTAAAAAAATAATATTATAATTTATAAATAAAATTAAATAAATTTTATAAAAAAAAATTTCCTAAATAAAACTGGGGAGTCAGTAAGAAAATTGAGCGTCATGCTCGAAATATGAATAGTATAGGAGAGAGAATGATATTTGAGCACGGGAAAGAAATGGTGGTCCCCACGCGCATCAATGAGTGAGTGAAATGCACTACTTTCTATAGCGCTCGTCTCATTTTAAAATATGCTCCCCCCATCTCTACGTAAAAACAGTTTTTTAAAACTTTTTTTTATCCATAAATATAAAAAGTTATTAATATATTTTTTAATAAATGAATCATTATAATTTATTAAATTAAAAAAATAAACACTCTTATCAATTTATATTAAAAAAATATTTATTTTATTTACTATAATTAATGTAAAATTAAAATGTTATTATGTTTTTAATTAAATAATTAATTTTTATTAATTTGTGTGATTCAATTAAAAATATTTTATATAGGGACGGAGAGAGTAAGATATGTTTAATTGATTCTTGTTCTACTATAGAAAAAAGATAGAATTATAATTAGGTCTAATATAAAAAAATTAATTACTACAAGATTCATTGACAAATGAATTAAACTACATTGACAATTAATTGTGTTATCAATACAGTTTAGTTCAATTATTAATGGACCTTATAATAATTAATTTTTTTGTATGGAACTTCGCTGTAATTCTCCTTAAAATAATCAAATATCTTTGAATTATTATTTTTTTATTTTTATTTCAAATATTTTAATTTAAAATAAATATAAAATAATTTATTTAATAGAGACATTTTTCAATTTTTTATAATAAGAGAAGGTAAATTTGTTTAATTAATCATAACCATATTTTAGTCCAAATATTTTTATTTCGATGTAAATTTGTTCATAATTTTAATTTGTTCATTTTATAGACATTTTCTCAGTTTTTCATAAATTTGTTCAAATTATTTAATTTAGGTTAGCTCAAATATCTGAATTTTTAAATTTTATTGTGTTATTTTTTAGCCAATTTTAATTGTTATCTTAAAAGATTAACATTTTTCACCTAATATTATTTGAATTTTATTTTATTAATAATAAAAAAATTAAATATTCAAGTTAAATTCATTTAAGGGTTCAAACTTAGCTCGAATTTCTTCATTCAAATAAATTTGAAATAAAGAAAATATTTAAAACTCAAAACTTGGTCCTCAATTTTTTTTTCAAGCTTATTTAAACTCATTCAAATTACCAGCTCTATTGCTCATAGCTAATAAATAATATAATTTTTTTAAAAAATTTATATTATATATTTGAGCTATGTTCATATTGATGATAGATTCCAAAAAAAATATATAAGGACAAATTGATTGTACTAATTCCCCAGTTGAATTTAAAAAAAATTGTAAACATATATAAATTTATGGTGATTTAATATTCAGTTGTCTTCATAAAAATGAAGTTATTTATCCAACTCCAAAGCGAAAGCAGCAAAATGGAGCCTATGGATTGAAACAAATTAGAGGGAAAAGGAAAGGTAGAGAGATATGATAAATACAACAATCACAAGGTACAAGTAATTAAGATACTTTATTGGCTAAGGCATGGGACAAAGTAACACAGGGTTAGTTATACACCCACCCACCTACTGCTATATATATATATATATATATATATATATATTGATATATAAAGATGAGTGAATGCTTCATTATGTACGTTGTTGGATTGGTTTATACTATTTGGGCCCGGGGGGGATTTAAATAATTTTTTTACATATTATTAATTTTTTTAAATATTTATTTTCTCTATTTAAAAATATAAGACATTTTCTTATAAATTTAATATTTAAAAATATAATATATTTTTAATTCTTTGAGGTATAATTATTACATTTTTTTTAAAAATGCTCCTATTAAATAGATCACTTTATATTTTTTTATGTGTAAATAGGGGTCGTTAAAGAAAGATATGATTAGTTTAAAAATAAGTAACTATTTTATTAAGAATGAGATTCAATTAAAAATGTTTTACATTTTTTAATGGAAGAAGTATATCATATGCAAAATATCATAAGAATCATTTGAAATTATTTAATACTTTAAGAAATTAAAAATATTTAAAGTTAACTGAAATATTTTTTTTTTAACATATGATATAAACTCTAACAAACTATACACTTGAGCTGCTAAAACTAACACTAGCCAATATTATTTACAAAGTGAATAGTAAAAATATATTTATTTAAATACTTACTCAATTTAATAGGCCAACATTTAGGTACTTAGTTTTATATACTTGATATATTTTTATCCAATCAAATTAAAATAAATAAATTTTAATATTTTAATATAATATTAATAACAATAACTTATTATAAAATAAATAATTTATAAATAATAAACATGTTTTGATTTAATTAAAAAAAACAAATTAAATAAAATAATGCTGAGTATAATTTATTCAAGAATTTTTTTTAAAACAACCTATTAAAAAAACTAACATATACCATATAAATATTAAGTTTCACTCTTTTTAATATTAATTATGCGTTGATGATAAAAAATATTTTTATATTTTTTTGGTAAAAAAGGCAATTGCAAAAATATTTTAGTATAACCATATAATTTATTTCTACTCCCTCCATTAAAAAATATAAATTATTTTTTGAAAGATTGAATGCTAAAAAATGTGTGAAATTTTTAATCTTTTAAAGTATAATTATTACTTTTTTTAAAAAAATGCCCCTTTATTTTAAGTTAAAATATCATATTAAATGAAGATAAATATAAAAATATAGTGTTAGTTTGAAGATAAATAATTACTTTTTTAAAGGTAAATTTTAATTAAAATATTTTATATTTTTTAATATGAAAAGTATTTAATAAATAATAAAAAATTGTAAATATACGTAAGTGTAGATAGTTTATTTTCGTTGGTTAAGAGAGTGTGGGAAGGTTGCCTATATTTACATGAAGACGACAGTGTGGCCCCCCTCAACGCATACGTGGGGTGCCCTTGTATGTGTGTGCCCGGTTTAGATCAAAGTGTAAAGATGACTCATTAATGGAACTCTATCTGCTTTTATACATGAAACCTGCCCAAATCAAGACAATTTCAAATGACTGAAATAATGAATTATTCTTTCTTAATAGGTAATTAATTAGTTAGGAAAATTGATAATTAAAGACTTTATAAGAATATTAACTAAAATTATTGATCCTTAATTATTGAAATCTCAACAATAAACCATGATTTTTACTTGCAATACAATATTTTTTGTTGATTAGTTTGAGAGCCATAACTAATTTTTGTAAATTCTCAACTAATATTGAAAAAAATTTTAAGTATCGTTTTATTGATTTTTTAATCAATTTATCTATATATTGACAATAAAAAAGTATAAGTGATTAGCTTGTAATTTATAACCAACTCTTATAAATTTTCAACTAATTTTACAAATAATTTTAAGTGTATTTTATTGATTTTCCAACTGACTAGTCACATTTTTTTAATTACAAGCAAAAATCATGATTAATTTTTAAAATTTTAGTAATTAAGAGTATGTAATTGTAATTAATATTTTTATGGGTCCCTAATTGTCATTTCTCCAATTAGTTAATCCTCTTATAACCAGGCATTGTTCTTAGCATAAGGGATCATGGTTGCTTAAGTACAAGATTTTGAATTTGAATATGTGTGAATATAAAAAATATTTTTGAGAAAGCTATTCCTAATTGGATTCAATAGTTGACTATCACATAGTTAAATAACCTTATCAAAAAATTAGTTAACAATCTTAATTAGAAATATACACACCTTGATCAATAATCATGCAACTTTAGGATTGATTGTTTTCCTTCGTTTGGCTATTTATAGCAAACCTTCCTTGATAAAAGTGATTTTAGACTCAATTTGTTAAGTGAAAATGATAATTAGATCTCAAAAACTGAATTAATACTAGTTAATTTTTTTGACAAATTTTTTAAAAAAATAAATTAAAAATATCGATCCAAATTATTACAAATCCAAAATTTTAATTACAAATAAATATTTAAATATCAAATGTAACTTTTAATTATGGCAGAAATTTTTATTTATAATTATTTGAATTAATATTTATAACTCATTTTGCAAAAAATTTTGTCAAGGACTTAATTATCATTAATTTATTTTTCTGGGACCTACTATCATTCTCCCATTTGTTAATCCCTTCTATCCTTTGCTCTTTTTTTTTTTTTTTGATATTCAATCCCTTCAATTTTTTTAATAAGATGCTTTACAAAAATAAAAAGTAATCCCAGTTAACTTTGGTTTTGATAGTATTCTTGAAACTTGATAAATCATTATGGATTCACTGCAAGGAAGCAGGCATTTTTCGATGGAATAAGTCCTAGCTTTGCAATAGAACTTCCGTCCCAACAATCATTTGCGATGCATTTCGTGACGGAGCCACCTATGTCACCAATTTACTCATTAAAAATTATTTGCGAGGAAACTTTGTGAGGCCCTTTGAGACACAAACGTCGTCCCAATTTTGTGATGGAATATATTGCCACAAAGGTATTACAAACTTTTGCGATGCAATTAGTGTTCCAAATCTGTTCCAATGTTTTGCAACAAAATACGTGTCACAAATATATCTCAAGTTTTGGCCAAGAAAAGAGAAATTAAACAAGTTTTCATTG